TCTTCCTGATTTATCTGAAGTATCTATGTGGTACTGTTCTATTGCTCCTCAGATTGGGGAACCTTGACCGACGTTGATCCGACGCATGGTACGTGAACTTCTGAAAAACACGTAGTGTATGCTTTGTAATGCAACAGACTGCGGATAACGAGGATTTACTTGACCATGGTCAAGTAGCGTAGGCAGGTTTCAGCAGGCGATCGAAATAGTTGAGACTCGAAGAAGTACTGCAGTTAGTGTATTAGGTGCCCACGTCATCGGCCTGTCATCATGCGTGTCGATTACCTCGAAATCTGTAGCATCAGACGGGTGAGAGTTAAGACTACTCTCCTTAGTGTTTCACCATGTTGGCTGATATACACTGGCCCGCAACTGCCGTTCAGTTCATTCTCGAAGATGTCTTTTCTAGCACTTTACTCCCTTTACCTTTTCTGATTCAATCCCATCTTCCCGTCTCGCCAGTGAATCGTTATAGGATATTTTATAGGTGATGAATTTTCTAAGTCCATTCCCAGCCGTGCACTGATAGTATCGCTGCTTCTCTACGGCCGCTTATTCGATACAGCCGACCTCCACATCTGAGATCGTTTCCTTTCCGCAGTCTGGCGACGGGTGTGCACAGTGGCCTGCGTCTAGGCTCAATGGATATTGATGGTGAACTTGTCTCGAATTCGTTAATTGTATGACATGCAAAATGATGAGGTGTGCTATTCGGCTTTGTTATAGCCGTTCGAGTGAAAATTACTGTGCATATTAAGCTAGCAGAGATGAAATGGTAAGCATACTGCTGTCGCTGTCCAGAACACTCAACTTTGATGGTTTACAACCCTCCATTTGCGCGTTTTTTGCCATCGAAACTCACAGCAAAGATGATTTGTTTTCAGAAACGAGCGATCTCGTGGTCAGAACGTAATATTAGAACTCAGTGTTTTTCGCTATCGCTGAAACTACCTACAACACCGACAGCAAGCGCTTTTAGTAACTGGAACTTTCAGAAGACAAGGTTTAGCAAGGAAATCTGTTTCATCGTTCATTTCTCTGGCATATGATTTAATCGCGTTGTTGCCTACTTCTGTGCAAGGCCACTTAGATCATATTTTGTGTCATTATAACACATTACCTTAAAGAGAAATGACATTTTTGCCGCCCCGCTGCAAACGCCGCTGAAAGGTGATTCTTCGATGATCTTCTTCGCCAAGCCACGGACAGTGTTGTGAAGGATGAAGTGCAAGAAGATGGCGATGCGATGGTCAGAGGTTCAGATGCTTAAGAAGCAACACTGCTCGAAAACTACTGTGCCTTCGCAATATTTTCATGGCCAAAAAGAGCATATGCACTGGCAATTGGAGTCGAAGAAGTGCATGAAGTGTCAAACGATAGGTGGCTGCGTCCTTTCGCCGCCAACCATCGAATAAGCAGAATTGAACTTTACATTCCTTCTTTACGATAGACATTTTCTTTCAAAATATCACCATCTCATGAGAAGCGAAATGAGTCAGGAGGTACAAATATTCAGTGAAAAGCATTATACTTTGACTTACCGAATTCGCAATTACTATCAAATAGTAAAACGAATGCTATTGTCTAATTGAGTCATCCATGTAAAGTGCAAAAAATGATACATTCGAATTTCAGTGATTGCTTTGATCGATATTGCAGGAATTTGCATCTCATTTACAAGAAAAAATTTCTAATGAAATTTGAAGCGCAGAGAACAATTACAGAAGCACGTATAGTAAGGATGTCGTGAACTTTGCCGAGATGATATGCTGATAATGTGATTATTGCGTGCAAGTTTCCCCGTTTCAAAAATTTGGTTTGCTACAAAATGCAACAGAGCGAATGCCTGAATGACAATAAGCACCTTCGAGAGAATTAAAAACAAAATTCGCTGTTCTCTCTGGCCAGAGAGTGAAGCTGTCCAATCATGTTCCGTATGGTTAAGTTACCGCTTTCAATGTGTCAAATCTCTGATACCAACATAAGAAAAAAAAGCTAGGGGTCTTAAACGACATGACTTTTGTAGCAAGCATTTAAATTTGGTCGTAGAAGAGTTACGTGACATTTTATATGGCTCTGTCACGTCTCAGCAACTGCATTGCACTGAAAGATCAGAATCAGCTGGACATGTGACCCTCCGCTCTTTAATCAAGATGAAAATATTGCACAATATCGACTTTAAAATCTACCACATACCAGTGACATTTGGCAGAA